GGAGCCATCCGTATGACAGTTGCATTGTTGCTTACTGCTTCTTGCGGTATTGCGTCTTGTGATGGATCAGTGGGTGTGCTGCGCTTGATTCGACGCACTCTTGTGGTTCTGGTCGATGGAGGTATGCGGGTGGTGATGTCGGCTGGGATGTATGGGGAACCTTGGGGTGGTGTAAGCCCGTCGATAGTCGTATTGATGCTTGTTGCGTTCTGCAGTATTGCATCTCTGCGATGGTTGTTTGGTGGGACGCTATTCTCAATGACGCTCTCTGCGTCTTGGTTTGACTCACACCTAAGTAGCTTTGCCCAAGTCGGGTCACTTCATTACGGGGCTGCAGACTGTCTGCCCTCCATTATGTTTTATATAACGACATAATAATAAATATCTGTAACTTTCCCACCTTTGAATGATTGAAGGCAACTTGTTGGAGGGCGAGACAAAAATGCATTTACTCAACGTCAGTGACACAAAACCTTTCTGATAGCAAATTATTACTAACATCTTATTACTGCCTTTTGGCTATATCTGCCGTTGTATTGGTTGGTGGAGCATATGTGTTGACCTCATGCGGGTGGTAGCTGGCGGGAGGATCTGAGGAGACTCTCTAGGCTGCAGCCGAAAACCGCACAACGTGGGACCCCATTTCCGTGAGGTAAGCGGTAGACTCAAGACACGCTATGCGGCTAGTAATCGTGCTGATCATGCAACTGGTCATCAACAACATACACTTACATCACGTCTGCAGGAGCGGCGGTCTGGCTGGCGCTCACGGAGGGTTTACGGCCAGTGTGACTATTTACCTAAACCGTGTGACGTACATTCACTGTGGCTGGATTCGTTCGTATTCTGTATGGCATTTACACGCATTGACATGCGTGACTTCGGTCGATGTTTGTGCTTACGCACTAACAAGGGGCCAAGCCTCTTTTACTGGTTCGCAAATTATTTACAGTGAGCAGCGAGCGCACGACACAGGCGCACGCGTATAGCTAAACGTTTGCACTCTTGTTTACGTATCTACTATCTAGGTCATACGACATAAAACATATATCACCAACCTTTTTTTTTTAGATGATACTATTATTAAACGATAAATATCTGTGAATCATGTTCAAATGAGTTCAATGATGGAGCGTAATGTTATGTTTGTAAAAAACACTACAACTTTGGTTGTGCTGGTATAACGGAGCGAGGTTTTCGGAACTTAGGGGCAGATCGAAGAGTACAATGGAAATGCCTTCAGTGCAAAAAAGGTTTCCTTCAGCCCCTCCCGTCCAAGTTCTGAAGCCACCCCTGGTGGCAATTCTGGTGGGGAGTCGGCGACCTTGGATCTTATTCTTAAGGAAATTCGTGAGATGAAGAAGCTGGTCACAACAGTTCCAACTCTTATCGAAGACATCAAATCTATTAAAGTTGAATTAATCCATCTGAAGGAGTCTTGTGAGTACAACAGTAGTTCACTTAAATCTTTTCAAGATCAAGTCTCCAGTTTGGAACGTGGTGTATCTCAGATAGAAAAGATTCAAAATTCTCTCGCTGTGGCCAACAAGGAAATAGCTAATCTTAAAAGTATTAGTGAGTCCAAGGAACAATGGTCACGGCTGAGTAATGTTGAGGTAAAGGGCATCCCCCTAAAACCCAATGAAAACCTATTTGTAATTGCGGAGTCTTTGGGTAAAGCAGTTGGGTATGAATTCCAAAAATCTCAAATCAATTACATATCCCGAGTACCAATGTTTAATACCAAAGAGAAGGCCATCATTATCAATTTCATAAATCGTTAGCTGCAGCAGCAGCTGCACGCGCCTGCAAAATTCCTAGAGGCGAAGGATGTTGAAGGATTTGGACGCAATCTTCAACGCGTTTTCGTAAATAATTATTTGATCCAGAGCACAAAAAACTTCTTACCAAAACAAGGACCTTAGCAAAAGACCGAAGTTATTCTTATATCTGGGTCAAATACGGAAAAATTTATGTTCGTAAAAATGATACTTCGCCGGTTTTAATTATTACTAAATAGGCTGATTTAAACAAAATAGCTTAATCTATTGTTTATTAATGTCTCTTTTGAGATTGCTGACCTCATTTTTCTGTTAAAAATAGCTTGTAGTGCTATTGACTGTCCTGACTTTTATCTCAACTAGCTAGCTTAGCTATCCTGCCAAACCTCTTAGATACAACAAAATTTTAAGTCTCCCGTTTTCATCTACAAATTATACGAAAAATACATTTATATGGTGAGCGAGCAATAATTTCAATAAGCTAGCCAATGAGTTTGACTTCGATTTGTTTAACACTAGTGCTGCGTCAGGTAGGCGCATACTTAACAATGCATTTTTTGGTAGCTCTAAGTGAGATATTGATGCGACATCTATGATTTACTTCTGTATTTGTGTTTATTTTTTCCGTTAAAAATAGCTTGTAGTGTTATTGACTGTCCTAAGTATGAGTTGATTGTCTTTTATATGTATAACACAAGTTTAGCTCTCATTTGGCATAAATATGTTGTATTGGATACTTTCGAGTGTTAAATTGTATATATTATCACTGTTGTAAATTCACTTTTGTATCTATTAGTGAGGATCTTTAATTGGCTTACTGTTGTTATTAATACTATCTATCCTAATTATGATAGCTGTTGGTCTTTCAAATAAAATAAAAATAAAAAATAAAAATAAATTTTGCTGTGGACTACGGTCCAGTTTCCAAATTAGCGTTCCCTTCGGGTGGAGTGCATCAAAATGTTTGGCGCTCACCGCGCACGGCGTGTGTGGAGCCGTGTGCCTCCCCTACCTTTTTTTAAATAAATGTAGGAGAGCGAAGCCCTTGTATCGGGTATATCGTATAAATATATTGTGATCCTTTTCCAAGCGGGATGTGATAAATAATAATAAATTTATAATGTAAACCTGGTACAAGTGGAACAGGGACATTTTATGTTCTTTACCTTTCTCGAGCCCTGTCTTCGTGAACGGGGTTCACTTAGCTTATAAGGCACTACCAACAGCTTTCAATTGCTCATTGTGAATAATAATTCTTTTAAAAGACACTTAAAGAACTAAGTTACTAAACAAACACAACGTAAATAAGGGTCCTAACTAAGACGATCACGCTAAAATATTACAAACGGCCTATTATTAAATGTTTGGAAAGATCATTTAGAAAGATCAAAACATATTTTATTTATCCTGTTCACAAATATATAATTTTTAATATAAAGGGGAATTAATTATAATAATATATTTAATATCATATATATTTATTTATATAGAGGAGGAGGGGGAGCATTACAATATGTTATATATTTTTATGTGAATTGTAGTGTTATGCTACTTACATATCATTTTACACTATTTTAAATTTATTTTTCCGTTCTGTTTTTGATTTTCTGCATTCACCTAAAAACTGGATATTTTGCATCACATTTATTTCCATAGGATCCTGTAACGTTTTCTAAACCATAAGAACACAATAACAAATCATTTTCACTTTGTATTTTCACGCTATCAGCACTTTTTAAATCGATGTCAATGGAGCCTACCTTTTTCGATCTTTTATTTAGTTCTCCGTAACTCTGCAATTTCGGGCTTCGTGCGCGCTGTTGCGCTACCTTTTTTCCTGTATCAATAATATCTCATTTTTCACTTAAATCTTGCCGTTTCTCTATTACGAGCCTGAAACCAAAATTTGACATGTTTTGACATCGTTGTTTATCTGATTATCATGGCAATTTTTATTCAAATTCGTTACCGGTCTGATGTTTTCACTTCAAAACTTCACAAAAATACTCTTTTCTTGTTGGCCATTTACAAAAATTTGATTTTAATTTAAATAATTTCCCGTTCTTTTCACAAATCCGTCGTCGAACGCGGAGCTCTCTAAAAAAGTATAAAAGCCGAACAATCGGCCAATAAAAGAGTCTCGCTTCAGCTTTTAAACGAGAAGCATCTCCTAAAGGCCTTATCCCGGGGCCGCACTGCCCCGGGATTCTGCAAGCCTCTGCCTTCATCTGAAGTCGTCGTCCAGCTACGCCTACGCCTCCACCTACTAGTGCCCGCGCTATCTTTAGCCGCTGTGCGTGCTTGCTTCAAGCGCTGTGTGTGCCAACTCCGGGCGCTGCGTGTGCCTACTCCGGGCGCTGTGTGTGCCTACTCCGGGCGCTGTGTGTGCCTACTTCAAGCGCTGCGTGTGCCTACTCCAGACGCTGCGTGTGCCTAGATCAGGCGCTGTGCACCTACCACAGGCATAGCCTGTGCATACTCCGTGATGCTTCTAGTTTGAAACCACATTCCATCATTTTCACCTTATTATTTTTATTTCTTTTAATTTGTTTGTTTGTTTGGTGATCCAGTGTTTTTCAACACATCTTGCTTTAGGACCTCGAATTTTCGTTGGATAATCTTCACTTTTTATTTTTATTTCAGACACATCTCGTTAGTGATGTTGCTGATCTCTGGCTTTGAGCCCTACCGCTCTGGCCGTTCTTAATCTTTACTTAAGTCATAGCGACTAAAGCTTGCTTAAGATTAAGTTCTTTATCTTTATCTTCACTTGGGAGCGGCTGACTACTCCCTTAATAAATTTCTTTTTCCACGCAGGAGCGGATGACAACTCCTTAAATAAGCCTGAATGTCCTTTCGAAAACACACTTTTAGAGTGGTAGTCATTGAATGTGAACTCCACCCTTACTTGAATGCAGATGATGAATGTAAGAGATAGTATATCTGATTTTGCCTGGTGATGTCTGTTTCTGCAAAGCTGTGTTTTTATGGTTTATTTTAGAATGTACATATCAAAATTTTTGCTGAGTCAAAAAATTTCCAGGGTCGGGGGGAAAATGTAGTGTTATGCTACTTACATATCATTTTACACTATTTTAAATTTATTTTTCCGTTCTGTTTTTGATTTTCTGCATTCACCTCAAAACTGGATATTTTGCATCACCTTTATTTCCGTAGGATCCTGTAACGTTTTTTAAACCATACTAAGGCCCGCTGGCGCTAAGGCCCGATTCCATCGCTCTTTTTCCAACTCGATTTCCTTGGTGATACTCGCAGCTCGACGTACATGTAACTGCGTTTTATTGGGTCCAACTGCGGGTATAAACGAATCCTATGTACCGCGAGAAGTAGCTGCGGAAAGGAGCTGCACATCGGTTGCGCACGTTGTAAGTCTTCGTAGTCCTGTAATAATTTTTTATTTTATTTGTTTATCATATGGATTATTTTTTTTTGCTAATAAACATTGAATTTATTACTATGAAAAGTACGTAATATAAAAAAAAGTTTTAAACAAGTAACTCTGAGTCAATCTGTTTCCGGCATTTTTTTTCTTGGCCGGTGTGAGTGGAATATCATTGATATCTTACTCCAAAGAGGCTTTGAACGGTTGTATTAACTGCTACTGTCTTGTTCTTGCGTTTTGGCTGGCTGGATTGACCCGCTCTTCTTATTCGATGTGCAAGGAGCGGGTGTTTCCGATCTCCAGCGACCTCTTCGTCCGAATAGAAATATTTGGCCGACCTGTAAATATAGAGTTTATTAACACGAACTACTCGACATAAAATTATATCGAATAAATATTATAATAATAAACTAAGAAAAGGCTAGTGGTGGAATGCAGCAAAACTGAGATGAAGCGCCATTTTTATCCAAAAAGAAATTTAATATAATGATAGTTCACTAAGTTTTTATCAACCAAGGTGGTAAACGAACCTAAACGAAGTCGTCGAAAAATATCATGAAAACGTGATAAAATAATAATAACAAAAACTTTGAGAAATACATAAATACATACATGCTAATCCGGCCTCCACTTTTCACTGCGAGATTGTAAGGATTACAATAAAACGTGGAGCACTCATGGACTAAATTTAAATCACCAAATTAAATTAAATTTTAATTTTCGTTATTCCAGACTACATAGACTTATGATTACAGTGCATAAAGCCTTATTATATATAATTTACATTGAATATTTAAATTTTCAACTTTAATATATGTGCTGCCTAATGTTACCAGTAAGAGTGTTATCGGAATTTGGCGACGGATAATCACGCCATTTGAGACCTAATTCTAGGATGATGAGATATGCTATAAAATAAGCTACGATGTATGTTACTTATATTGGTTTCTATTGATATTAAATATAGATCTTTTGCACTTCCAAAAACTTAAAAAAAGGCGTTGATTAAAATCAGAAGAAATTTGTTTTAGCTGTATAAAGCGAATAATGTTAAAACAAATATTTGCGAATTTTCCCGTAATTGTTAATTTTCTAAAAGATATACTTATATACATATCTCGTATATATTATTTTTGAACAGAATTTGTTGTAAGGATAAATATACAAATCAGTACATATAAAATCATGTCGATAATTCGAGAATTCACACTACTTTTTTATAGGATAGGGTGACATACGAGCACACAGTCCATCTGATGGTAAGTGGTTGCTGTGGACCATAGACATCTACATGTATCCTTGATTACGAATAAAAATGCAGATGCGTTGTCACCCATGCTGGACAAGACGGAATAACTCGTTTCTAGTAAAAAGGGTCGCTAGTTCTCTACATTAACATACGAAACACAGCAGCATTAAGCTACTATTTTACGCTGGTATTTTCTGAGAGCGTGGTCCTACCCCGGTTGAGCAGATCCATTCGTGCTTCAACTATACTACTAATTTGCATGACTTTAACACGTATATAAACTACTTGTATGTACATATAGTAATCACTGTTTTAAAATGCAAGGGCTCCTTTTAAATCTAAAACTGAACTATATTTGCAATATTATGCCCAAATCTAATAAATATGAAAAATACACAAAAATATTTCCTCAAATATTTTTAATTTGCACGACCACAAGAAAATAAATAAATTAATAATGTACTTATTCTAATCTTGACAATTATGTTGAAAATACCTTTATTTTGTTTATTTATTTTTACTTTAATGCTCACCGGAAAGAAGAGTGCAGAGAATGAAACAGTTTATACCATGGGCATGGAATATTTAATGACTTAAATAAATAATGATTTCTAATATTTACGCGGACACTACACATTGATAAAACTACTTTTACAGATTTTATTGCTTTTAATTTTAATTGATTTTTAGTACCAACTTTTCGAAGTTTCGAAGACTTTGAGTAGAAAGCCCTTCTTACTGTACCTGTTACACCAAGCTTCTTTTAACAAGCGGTACATAGACGATACATTCACAATTTTACCATTAGATAAAGTAACTGCATTTTTAGAACATCTTTATTCCATTAACTTAAAAATTCAATTTATTTTGGAGTTAGAGGCAAATAGATGTGTTAGTCATCCGAAATCCTAATAACACCATCGGTCACACTGTGTATAGGAAAAGGACCCAAACAAATTGGTATTTAAACGGTGAATCTCACAACCATTCTTCACAGTTAGCTACTGTGGGCAAATCTTTGTAACATAAAATTACGAGGGATCTATGACAGAAAAACACCTGGCCACCGAGCTTCAGCACGTCAAGCAAGTTCTGCTCGACAGTAAGTTTCGGATACCGCGCCTACGTCAAAGTGACCGAGTGAAGCCGGTCGCAGTCGACCGTGTGCCTGCTGTACTACCATAATATATCAGAGGTGTCACAGACAAGATTAGCTACATCTTAAAGCGAGCTTCTTTTAGAACATTCTACAAGCTGCCGAAGAAGATTAATCAGTTCTTACCATCTGTCAAGAGTCATATTCCTCTACAAGACGCGAGTGACATTCACAATCAAGCTTGTGATTGTTAATGTGGTCTATCAAAGATAGGGCAAACAAAAAGATCCATTAAAACCCGCGTAAAAGAACATATAGCTGACGTGAAGTATCAACGTTGCGAGAAGTCTGCAGTGTGCGATCATATCTTCGGCTGCCACAACCATTACATTAGATTTGATAGACCACAAATCCTCGCGAAAAAACATCAATTCCTACCAAGAAAGATATGTGAGGATCATCATCATCATTACAGCCCTTCACAAGTCCACTGCTGAACGTAGGCCTCCCCCAAGTAATGCCACAAAGTACGGTCCTGAGCCACCTGTATCCATCGACTTCCTGCATGTCTTACCAGGTCGTCACTCCATATAGTGGGGGTCGCCCTACACTACGCCTTCCGGTACAAAGCTGCCACTCGTGAACCTTTCTTCCCCATCGGTTATCGGTTCTTCGAGTTATATGGCCGGCCCATTGCCACTTCAGTTTACTAATCCGTTGGGCTATATCGGTCAGTCTGGTTTTACTGCGGATATCCTCATTTCTGAGTCTATTACGCAGAGAAACTCCGGGAATAGCCCTCTCCATAGCTCGCTGAGCGACCTTGAGCGGCCTCATACGGCCAGCAGTGAAGGACCACGACTAAGATCCGTAATTCATCACTGGCAACACGCACTGGTTTTCAGAGATTTAGGTATACCTGACGAGAAGATGTGTCGTAATTTCCCGAACGCTGCCCAGCCGAGTTGAATCCGTCGATTGACCTCTCGGTCGAAGTTGGACTTACCTGGTTGGACTATTTGTCCCAGATAAACGTACTCTTCACAACTTCGAGCATAGTGCTCCCAACAACTATCGGCATAGGTGTGACATGGCATTAAACATGATCTTTGTTTTGTCCATGTTTATCTTAAGACCTATCCGTTGGGGACACTATTGAGGTCATTGAGCATAGTGCTAAGGTCCTCCAGCGATTCTGCCATAAGGACTATATCGTCGGCAAATCGAAGGTGAGTGATGTACTCGCCATTGATGTTAATACCGTATCGTTTCCAGTCCAGTAGCTTGAAAACGTCTTCCAATGCAGCGGTGAAGAGTTTCGTGGATATAACGTCACCCTGTCTTACACCTCTCTGCAGTTGGATAGGTTTCGAACTCTGGTTCTGTACTCGGATAGCCATCGTAGCCCTACTGTATAAACACTTCAGCACTTCTATATACCGTCAGTCAACTTGGCACCGCAGAAGGGACTGTAGCACCGCCCAAATATCGACGGAACCAAAGGCTTTCTCATAATCCACATACGCCAGGCAAAGTGGCGGATTGTACTCTTCGGTCTTCTGTACAATCTGCCGCAGGGTATGTATGTGGTCTATGGTACTGAAGCCTTTTCGGAAACCGGCATGTTCGGGAGGCTGGAAGTCGTTGAGTCTGCGTGCGAGACGATTCGTAATGACTCTCGAAAACAGCACGTAGACACAGCTCAGAAGGGAAATCGGTCTGTAGTTCTTCAAGAGAGCGTTGTCACCTTTCTTATAGAACAAGACCACCGCACTTCTGCTCCACGCTTCCGGAGTAGTGCCTCCATGGAGGACGGAATTGACGAGCTTCTGAAGGACTTCAAGTACCGGTGTTCCACCCGCTTTCAGAAGCTCCGCTGTAATTCCATCCTCGCCTGGGGCCCTGCCGTTTTTAAGGTGCTGGAGAGCCATTCTAATCTCGCTTAGACTGACGTCCGGGATATCATCGGAATAGTGTCTGATAAGACTTGCTCTTGGATCGTTACTCACACTTGCGTGTGGTTCCAACGATGATGTGTACAGCTGCCCATAGAACCACTTAACCTCACTCAAAATCTCAGGTGTCCCGGAAAAGATGCTGCCACACTCATTCTTCAGCTTTGACAGTTGGCTCTTTCTGGCAGACAGATCTCTGGAAAATACTTTGGAGCCCTGGTTCCGCTCGATCGCTTCTTTAATACGAGCAGTATTAAAGTTGCGTAAGTCTCGCCGCATGCATTTGGAGATCCGTGTATGTAAATCTGTTGACGATTGCAGCCTCATCTCCCGTCTAACAGCCATGAGATTAAGAGTGTGATCGGAGAGTTTTTGTGTTCTTCTGCGGCAGGGGTCTTGCAGAACTTAGCTCCAACCGCATGGACAGTTTTCACGAGCTTGTCATTCATATCGTCCACTGCATTGCAATCTTCTAGGCACTGAAAGCAATTACGTAACTCGAGCTGAAAAGATTCGGGATTCTGGATTAGAGCACGAGGGGGACGGAGCGTTGACTTCATTAGACGAGACCTCTCCAACTTAATGTTTAGGTTCAGTGTGCCTCTAACCATTCGGTGATCGCTGCCGGTTTTCACCCTTGCGATCACTGAGACATCACTGAACAGTTGGCGTCTGGTCGTTATAATGAAGTCAATCTCATTTTTTGTCGAACCGTTGGGGCTCGAACAGGTCCACTTCCTGTGGGGCCACTTCTGGAAAAAAGAGTTCATCATAAAGAGTACCTCTTTCTCCATAAAGTCAGCCAGCTGCTGGCCCCTACGGTTCCGTTGCCCTATTCCAAATTTCTCTAACTTCAGCTCTCAGCCTTCTCTTGTGCCTAGTTTTGCATTGAAGTCTCTCATCAACACCGTATAGTTTTGGAGGAATGCATGGCTCTAGAAATATCCTCATACATTTCCTCCACCTCCTCATCGGGATGTGCCGAGGTTGGTGCGTAGACCTGTTATAGTGTCATTACTAACTTATGGATTAAATACG